AATAAGTTAAGGAACGCGCCCCCCCCCCCCCCCCCCCCCCGGTTTGATCTGATAATCAGCTGATTTACTAAATTAACAACCTCCTGGGAGAGACTCTTTGCCCAAAAGGCAGTTTGACTGTGTATGGCAAAGTAAGGTCAGACCATTGATGCAAATCATTCTGTTACTATTTTCTGAATTTCATACTGCCTGGATTTATATATTATTAAGTGTCCAGAATAATGATCACCAGCTGGAGTCTAAAACCATGATCAGAAGAGCAACAAACAGGGCAGCAGCCTTCAGGCTGTGCAGCACCTGAAACACATGCTGTACCTCACTGACTGAACTTTATGAACTTATCTACAAGGAAGAGTCTTTAAGTAACCTTATTTTGGCCTCACTTTTTTTTTTCTTATGTGTTTCTGGTCATTCTTTAATTCTGAAGACATTTATTAGAAATTAGGGAGGGGGTTTTGACAAAATGAAATTGGTTACAGGGGTACATAGAAAACCACTACACCATTCTTTATTTTCCCATGTGCATTCTCTGGGTTGATTTTTATATTAGTTGCACCACACATTGCTACATGCTTATATAGATATTAATGCCCCAATTACATAGGACTCAGATCAATACCATCTGGACATTTAAGATACTTAACTGAAGCTCTAATTTGACCTATGCTGCCTCCATAATCAGTAAAGAGAAAAGGCATCCCTTGAGAAATGGTTAGGTCATCTAAGATTTGAATTGCTGCTCTTTTTACTGCAGAATGTACCCCTAAGCTGCGTTCTTCATTAAGTGATTTAAGTTAGAGAGAATCAGCTTATCATATCTGCTGCCTGTCATCTGCTTCTCAAGGATACAGCACTAACTGGGGGCTGGTATGTACAGTCAAGGCTTTGTGTAGAGCTCTTTGTGGTCAGAGATTTTTGCCCAGAGAATGTGGTTTCACAACCCAGCTATGGCGCTATAATAGACGGAAGCAGCTGCTTAGAAAGGGCTTAGTTTTCAATTTACCAGTGAATTTTCCTTTGAGTGCTTTCCTTGTCATATTTTCCTTGAGAAAATACTGATATTTGTATAAACGCATGGGATGTTTCTGTTACAATTAATATGTCTGCATAAACTGCCAAGCTGCTGTCTCTGAAAGAAGTTAATACAACACCTTTTATGAGTGTTTTTGGTTTTGCTGTCTCCTGGTATCCAGTGCCCATCATTTCTAGTAGGTAGGTGACCTTAGCCACCTTCCATCCCCGAATTCTCTGGAAATGGTACCTCTGGGACATCACAATGCAGGAGATGAAGAATTTTGATAACATTTCTTAAAATCCTATTTTTCATGCTAGCTTTATGTTTTCTAAGAAAGAAAAATGAAAACAAATTTGTATTTTCTTGGTGGGACTGCTTGGAGTGAGACCTTAAAAAGACATGTGTTAATTGCTCTTCTATGGGTGCTGCGTAACAAAGTTTAAGCTTTCGATAGCAAAGTGTGAGTGTTTCCAAAACAGAAGGATTATGCCATTTAATTTTTGTTTATCTGTTTATTTTGTTTTCCCCTAGTTTTGCATCTCAGAGGGAACTTTATTTACTACTACACTCATACTTGTTTTCTTTGTGAATTACTGCTAAGCTGAAATATCTCTGTTTGGACTTTCATGTGGGATCAGTAGTTCAGTTTCCTTATGTCCCTCTGGGGACCAACTTCCCTAATGGACCACATGAATTTGATATCAGAGAGGAAATTGAGAGAGACAAGATATTCTGTTGTGACGCCATACAAAGCTGTAGTTCATTTTGTATGCATGGCTTTTTATTTACTTCATGGTTCTCTCTGCATTTGAACTACATCTTCCACTCAACACTGTTTTTTATCCAAAATCAAGTAAGCCATCTTCCCTCATTAAAGATATGTTTCATTTAGAGTATGTGACCTATAGAAAAGAGTACGAAGCATCAGAATTATCAGACATGCAAAGAAGTGTGTGCATAGCAGCACTTCCAAGCTGAAATATCTTAGCAACAGTCTGAAATAATTTACTTTAGATTTCCCGCCACACATATCCAAATCAAAGTCAAATATAGGAAATTTATGTTAAAATTGTTTTTCTTTAAATTCAAAAGCACATTCTCCTTTGTGTTCTGTCACTGATCGTAGTGCTTTCCCAGTGCAGGGATCTGAATACAAAAGAAAAAATGGAAAAGTACTTTAATTTTTCTTACTGTTAGAAAAGCGACCAAGAGCTTCATACAAATATCAAAGTTTTTCCTATTTGATTTTTTTATCCTGAGGACAATTCTCTTTTCATTCCTTTAGTGTACCTCAGGATCATGATCCTTTATTGTATTTGTAATGGTCCTAACATATTGTTATATAATTTTTTTTAATAATTTCCTTTTAAAAACCTTGTAATTTTTTTTTTTTAATATTTTTTTTTTTTAACTTTCATAACAGCAACAGCTCTACATTGGCTCAGCCACTGGAGTTTCACAGCTTCCTTTACACCGCTGTGATGTGTATGGAAAAGCATGTGCTGAGTGTTGCCTTGCGAGAGACCCTTACTGTGCCTGGGATGGTTCATCTTGCTCACGTTACTTCCCCACTGCTAAGAGGTAGGGACAGTTTCAGATGTCTGCGTGGTTTGCTATTTGTTTTAACTGATGGTCTCAATATGACCAGAGGGCTTTGGAGATTTTTCATGGGATGGTTAACCGGAGCCCTTTCTCTTCCAAAGAAAACATAATTGCGGGAGTTACAAGCAATATGAAGTCTTGGTTGATTTAAAGTGAACACTGCTACTTCTTGGGTTGGCTTAAAAAGCTGTTGTAAAAAAACATTCAGAAAAGAGTTGTCTTTGAAATGGATTCATAACTTTATATTCAGTAATAAACAGAAAAAAAAAAAATTCCCTTTCTCCAACATGAGGAGGGGGCTTGATATTAAAATAAAAGAACTATTTGACCAAGTAAATTATCCTGTATTTTCATGAATTCCAATTCAAAAGAAATATTTATAATGTGTTTGGACATGAATGGAAAGTTATTGTTTAGTGATATAAAACATTATTGTTATTATTCAAAAGTATAACTTTTATGTGTTGATGTGTGTCTAAATGCTACCAGATCAGGACAACCACTATTTTACATTCACTCTGCACTGATGCTAAAGGCTTTGCAAGGCAAAGTCTAAGGGAAAACAGACTCTACAAGTGAAAAATATATATTTTTATAAAAAATTTACAAGTCCTAGTTGCCTGGTCTGAAGATTTAAAATAATATTTTCTTTGCCTTTATCTCTGAAATTCTTTCTCTTAAAGTATACAAGTTAGTTACTGAAGAGCTCTTAGCTACTGACGTAGAAATTAGGAATAACTGAATTGATAATCACTTGCAAATAAGAATAGATATTGGTGTAGCATTGAGATTCCCATGATAAATTGGCTAAAATGATAAAAAAGTGTTCACATTAAATTGAATATGCCAAACACCTGACACTTTTAAAGAAACAAGGAGTCCAAGGGTTTATATGCATAAGGAGCCTTTATCTTTGTTTTAAAATTAGTAGCAAATACTTAGTTGAGAATGTAGGGATTCCAAATTCCAGATTTGGATTGGTTGTTGCAGGATGTGAAATGTGGTAAAGGGTGGGAAGTAGCATTCGTGTCACAGACTTTTCAGATGGAGGGGATTAAAATTTCAAGGTTTGCATTACAAGGTATCCTAAACAAGTACTGATGACAAAAGAAAAAACTGCTTATGGAACATCAGGTTCTATTTTGCACCAGGAAACAAAGTTAATCTGAGACAAGCTTTTTTGTGAAATTCTTTAGAAAAGAATTAAAAAAGAGAAACTGAACCCATTCCAAAAGAAGAGCTGGTCAAATTTTCTCAGCTGCATGGGCTAAATTCAAATCTGCGGTGGGAGCACAGCAGCTTCTCTGTAGGAGGACGAGGAGAGAGAGAAGAGGGAACAGTGAGGTTTTCAAGAAGAGGCTGAGAGACTAATTTGATCTGAAAGTTTTAAGGCTTAGAAGTCAGTGTGGTTGAGTACTGCCTCTGAGTCGAAGGAGACAGTAAGGTCAGGAATCACTGAGTCACTCTTCTCTGCACCCTGAACCTCATTCTTTCTCAGCATTCACTAATACCCAGTCCTACTCCCAGCCATCTCAAGACCCATAGAGCACATCATCCTGTCATTCATCTGCTTGCACTGATGGAAGAAATAGGGTCCTTTGTCTTTTCCTTATCCGTCTCTCCAACTCACTAAACAGCAGACCGAGCTCACTGTTGTCATCAGAGGTAAAGGGACTGGGACTTCTTTTTACAGGGGTTAAGGGGCAGGGTTACTGGGGCTAAACTGGGTTGCACAGCTACAGGAAAACCTTGGGGTGCAGAATTTACTCTTCTTGAGGCCACTATGAAAGAAAAAGTAAGTCCTGGGAGGCTGGGATCCTGACAATGCATTCAGAAAAAGCCACTGTCCCCCCCTTACTTTCCCCCATTTTTCCCTTGGCAGCAGCAGCAGCAGAATAAAGGTCTGTGTTACTGGGGGAGAGGATCCTCTGTTTACCTGGTACCTGCTGTACCCACTGCCTCAAGCCAGCTTTGAATGCATCTATAACAAAATCAGCATTGCTGGAAACAGCTTCAATGTCAACATTTTCCTAATAATGAACCCTTGTAATTTTAGGCTCCTGAAATATTGGGAAAGTTGAGTCCTGAGGCAATTGCACAGATGCTTTACTAATAGTTGGTTTTGGGGTTTTGTTTCTTGGGGTTTTTGTTTGGGTTTTTTTTCCTTCTTTTTGAAAAAGGAGCTTTTATGAGCCATGATTTTAATTTACTTTTCTTTCTTTGTGTATTTTACAAGTCTAAATGACAGTTCAGAGCTCCTGTAGTGTGACCACTTAACTTTACCCCATGCAGATGTGTTCTGGTTCATATTTCATAAATCATTGTGTTGATACAATGGTGATATGTGCGACATTTTCCTGAGATTCTAACTAAATATCTCATCCAAACTCCATTGACAGTAACATCAGTCTTTCCACAGACTTCTTTTCTACATATAGTATCCTATAAATATGCTGCGTTTCAAAATTTAGGAAGGAGTAACAAAATTTTATGGTTCGTTACGTCTTGGGTGTATTTTTAGTAATTGGTAATGAGTAATATGAAGATTATATCTGAAATTAGGATTAGTACATTTTTTGACTCATGTCAATCAACAGAAGATTCCTTCTTACTAAAGCATAATAAGATGTCCTAATTCATAATTTTAAAGAAGTTTTTATTCAGAAAAATATAAAAAAATGCACATCCTGACTTCTTTTTTTTTCCCAAAAAAACCCTGTTGCCATACTTCACGTAACTAATTTCAGGTTTAACATTTCAGTAGTTTTCAGTGGAAAAAAATATGGTTAAAATCTTTCAGCCAAGAGGAGTCAGCTGTGCAGTTGATGGTGCCTCTGTGAGAACTCTTAGTATGTGCTGATTCTGGGCTGTTAGTGAGAGTCTGCAAATAGGGCTAGTGAACAGAAGAGAGATGGTCTCTGTACTGCAGAACAATGGCTTTTTAAAAATGTGGGCTGTTGTCACAAGGGAGTGACCAACAGTGCTTTTTACAAGGCTACTTGACTTTTGCATATCCGTTGCTGGATGCCATATTCTGAAATCACAGCATTGTTCAGCAGCCTAATCCTCTTTGTTTTCCCCTAATTTTGCAAGCCCTCAGGCTTTCTCCAATTCCTAAAGTAAAGTGCTCACACTTGAAACACATCTTTGTTTGCCTTGTTCTTTTTTCGTTTTTTTTTTATATGAAACGCTTTTCTCTGGCTCAGTTGAATCTTGTGTCACAGCTATTTAAATAAAAATAGGAGCAGACAAAGAGAGAACAACAAATGCAAAATAAAACTGTACTTAAAAGCTTTCTTCTGTGAAATACAACATATTTTAGCACAGATCAATATGTTTTCCAAAAGAGCCAGTGGAAATCAAACTGGGGAAAGAATATACTGTGTTAAATGGACATGCAAAAAAGCTATATCCCAGACTCAAGCTACAAAGGATGGAATAAATGACATTTCAAAATCTTCCTATCCAAGTGTTTTCTGTTTATTCTAAAGACAAGGCCATTTGCAGCAGTTTTGGAAAAGGTTTTTTCAGAAATGTTTTGGTGAGATCTGTAGTGGCTGAAATGATCTATGTTTTTTAATTTAGATTTTGTAGAAAATACAGCACTTTGACATTCTTTCAAAGCCATCCATCCTAACATTTAATTTATCTAAAAGATGCCGTGATACTTAAAGTATTCTGTACTTGCAGAAAAGCTACAAAACATGTAGCTTCTTCATGTTCTTTGATGCATGTTAAACTGTACTGTATATACTTCGATCCCTTAGCAGTCTCTGTATCTATGAATCAAGTAATGAATTTGTCTGTGATCAATATTGCCAACACAATGAAAATAAACTTCATAGGCTCAGTGCAAGAGGGATATGTTTACCAGTTCTGAAGACTTTACCTGTAAGAGTAAAGGCTGATTCTACAAACTGTGATAATGCATAGAATATAGTATAACAATATGACTTCCTTCCTAGTGTTGTTTAGGTTACTTGTGACCAATGCAATTATATATATGTTCCATTTGTTACTCTTCAGTCATGGTAAATGTGAATGCTGACCACTGAGAAGGTCACTAACAGTTTTCAAATATGATATTTGCAGACGTACTAGACGACAAGACATCCGAAATGGAGACCCACTTACCCACTGCTCAGACCTGCAGCATCATGGTGAGTTATGGGTATGACTGAAGTACAACTAATTTGTATGTAATTTACATACTGTGCATGAGTAGAGTAGGGAGCACATGAATGATTTGTTGGTGAAATTGTCTTGAACATCTGCGAAAGATGAATACAATATATCATTATCCCAATTTATATTGCTTACGATGGCCTGGATCAGACACTAAAGACTGTTTTTTGTTGTTTTTCCTCAAGTTAACAGTTTTAAGCATTTTAATTTTTCTGCTTCATTTACCTGATAATACCGTACCATCAGGCTAGGTATATTATGTTAGAAAAGAGTCGCATCTCCTTCAGAACAGCAAGAAGCATGTACGTGTTGCTTCATATAGTTTGCATAGGATGATAACCAAACACATAATTAACTACCTTGGCTGAATATGGAATGGTCTTTGTTGTAGGTGCCACACTAGCAGCCCTTAAGATCAGGATGTTCCTTGCAGTAGGCCTGTCCCATGTGCTTTCAGCATGGGTTTTCTTTGACATCTTTTGGTTTTCTTTTTTGTTGGTTGTTTCCTTTTCACAGTGTATTGACCAGATCTTCCTTTCTTGAATTGTTTGGCTGATAAACTTGTCACGGTTACCAATTTGTTGCCAAACTCTTCAGAAGATCTTCACTTAGAAAATGAAAAATGTCCATTTTGCTATAAGTGAAGAGAACAGTTAGGCAATACTTCCCTCTGCTGGAAAACAATGATTACTCATGTTTGTGGTATGTGTATAACAACAGTTAAACCACTGAACAGATTTCTGGGAAAAATAAAGAAGAGGTGGCTGAAAATGAAGATACCTCAAACCACTCATGTCCTTCCAGTCCTTGTAATAGCAAGAATGATAAACAGTCCAAAGTTGTACTTTTGTGTCAGCTATAATTCACCACCACTACATTTCAGTAATAGTTTTCTCTATCTTCCTTTTAATCATTTGAAACTCGCAGCTAACATTACTATAGCTTTTCTTTTTACTTCTTGATTGTCAGACTCAGGCCAAGCTACTCAGAGGGGAGAAGGGTTTGGAAAAGTGCATGAATAGACTATGACCAATATGTAGTTGTCACGTTTTGAGAACTCATGAATGTACAACTAGTTTAGATTTGAACTAGTCAGTGTGGACTAGTAGAAAGTTCACAAATTTCCAGTTGCATGGATATCTAGTAATGCTTATACAGTGCAGATGAGACCATCCATATTTTGGGGCTAAGATGAGATTTTCAGTTCCCCAATAGGAAAATTTCACAAGACACTAAATGTGGATTTTATTACCAGCAGAAGCATGTCTTAGCTTTACCTTTTTACTTTATGGACATTCTACTCATGAGTAAAATGGTGATCTGGTCTACCACATGTCCAGTTTTTTTAACGTTCTCTTGCCCTTGCTAGCTGTGCTTTATACAACTGTAGGTCAGTTCTTTATTTTCATAGACAAGAAAAGGATTTCAAAACACTTTGTTTTTTATGTCTTCCTATATTTGGTAAACCTATTTGTCTGAAAAAATATCTTCTCTCCAAAGGGAAGAGCATAATCCAGCACAGTTTTTTCATGGCAACAACCATGAGGACTCAAGGTCAGGAAAAAGCTATTATATAGTACATTTGATCACAAGGAGCTTTAATACAGCTTTGTCAAAATGAGCAGAGCAAGTATGAGACAAGATATCACTGAAAATTTTACTTAACGGTGAAATGAAGTGTGATTAGAAGAATAAGTAACTTACAAAAAATACTGAGGGAATGCATTTCTAGGTTCTAGACTTTAAGGATGTGTTGTCAAAATACTTTATGAATGTTTTAGATTGTTCTTGAGTGAAATTTTCTCTAAATTAATTCTGAGTTGTAAATCTATAAAATTTTCCTAAATTTACTTGTCACTTATATATGATCATGCATTGTACATACAGCTGCATGGCCTATAAACTTCCTATGCCAACTTATTCTGAGTTTTTTCCTTGGTTATGACTAGTAGTTTCCTGGACAACAGATGAAGAATTGGGTTTGTTTACAGACAAAAATAAGCTCCAGCAATCATTTACTACTTGTCTGCGCATTCCTTTGCAGTAACTGCCAGTTGATTCTCCATGTGAATCAACAGACACAAGAAAAAAGAACAATCTCTTAATGTACATCTCACTTTTAAAGACATTACAGAAACTTACTTAGATATCAGTCTGAAGCAATAGTGCTTTTAATAAGGTTTAGGTAGCTCTTTCAGTTGCCCTTTTGTGCAAATGTATAAGAAGTAGTAGAAAATGACTACACAACAACGTTAAAGGGAGCTGAGGATCCTTAGCTGTACAGGTGTTTGGCCAGACGTTAATGCTTAAACCTGAAAGCATGATCACCTTTGTGTCAGCTAAAGAACAATTTTTTTTTTAAGCGTAACATACTAGTGCTATCAACAAATTAATCAAGTTCTTTTTTTGAAGAATTTGTAAAAGAAGATGCACCTTTTCTTAGGTGATTTATCCCAGGGGAAGCTCAAAGAATCACTCTGAATTTAACTGTATAGTGAGATTCATTCATCTGCAAAGCAATCTTGGTATAAGTACTTAGCTTTTCATACTTCTTCGGTTATGTCAGAAATCATGTATTTAAAGGATATTTATCAGGGTAGTAAACTGATACTGCTGTTGGCTTCATTTTGGGAATTACAGCTCTCCGACAGGATTTTGGGTTGAATTTCATAACCAACTTCATGACTTCTAGTTTTCTAATTCCTCCAGCTGCTCTTCTGAACTTCCCAGACTTTCATTCTTCCTTCTAGTCTCTTCAGCTTCTCCCGCAGTCCCAGAGCTTCACTCTGATCCTGTGATTATTCCATCACTTTGCTTACTTTCTTGCACTCCACGTGCCTAATATTACATGAACTTTATAGACATTTCTGGACCTGCCTTCTGCTCCCTTAAATCATGGAAATGGAATTTGAAGGATCTCTTAAATCCTTCCTCTCTTATTGCATGACTGTCACCCATACTATATTTTCTGGAGCTGTGAGGAAATTTAAAGGGGGCTTCTGCCACTTTCCATGGTGATCTCTAACACACTAGAATACCATGGACCAGACCCAAGAAAACACTCAGAAGTTTGAAGTGGCATCAGAGCACCCACCTTCAAGGTAACTTCCATGAAAACTTGTGATTAGCTTCCTAGATACCAAGAATCTCCTAGGTACCTAAGTTTTCCAGCAGAAACTTCTCTATATACTTAAAAATATGCTACTGTTCATGGGCGGTAGGATCTTTGCCAAAGAAATATCTATTTTTGTCCTTTGTACTGATATTTAGGATCTAGAAGACTGTCTCCTTGGATCTAATGAGACCAGCATTACATGTGCTCTGCTCCTGTATAATTCACTTGGACCATGCTGCGTTCAGGAAAATATAATCAAGTGGTGCTGCGAGCCACCTAATCAGTAACCTGCTAGTTAAATCAACCATTTAGGGTGTGGGAGAAGAGGACTCAAAGTCCATTTAGGCTTAGGAGATTGACTTGATAGCTCTACTTCCAATACAAGCACCCAAATTATCTTGTTGAAGTTGGGCCATTCTGCAACCATGATTCAAAGTTCCTGGAGCCTGGGAGAGAGGAATTGAAATAGAGCATGCATCCTAGGGTGAAATCCCTGTGTTTCCATCCTTTATTCTGGAAGCCTGTAAATCTCTGTTCCATAGAAACATATTGCCGGAGTAGTAACGTATGTGTCCCTGGCTATAAAAGGAGACGTTTCATACTGACTGTCTTATGCTGCAGCTCTACATGTGCTATCTATTGTGGATCCCAGTTCAGATATCAAACTGCCTCTCGTTGACTATGTGAGAAGCTTTGGCTGCCTACTCAGCCATGTGATTTCTGTTCCTAAATTAGAGTACCTAACTGGAAACAGAAGAGTCAGGACATCAGTCAGCCATTCACAATGTTGAATCTGGACCCATGAGTTATCAGCCAATCATTTCCATTTCCAATCTTTATCTCATCACTTCCAGTTATATGCAGTTAATCTCTTCACTTATTTCCAGTTCCTCTGTTTCATTGACACAAATTCACCCATGTTCCATCTCAGACCTTACAACTGGTACCCTTGGCTACATTCTCTTCCAGTTGTCTTACTCTTCTCTTGCTGCTTTGCTTTCTAATTCATTCCACCATTGCTCCCCATCTTCCTGGCCCAAAGCTGCACTGATATTTTTCAGAAGGATGTGGTGTCATAAAAGTTGTTTCACTTAGTTGCCTACGTGGCACCCCACTTACTTGCTGGAAAGGTTCACAATCCAGCAGAGGAAAGTAAGCTAACCCATTCCCTATTTGTTTAGTGTTAATAGGCCATTTGATGTTTCCTTACTGAGAACTGGGCAAGCACCAGTTCCTATTCTGTCCCCCATCCCTTCTTCCATCCTCTCTTAGGGCTGCAAGTCATTATGGAAAGACATATGATTGCTGTATCAACATAAAGCAGGAGCTCAATTTTATTTTTACCTTTGGCTCAGTCATCTAGCAAACAGCCTGTGTTTGCTAAACAACATGGCCAATACGATAAAGGCACAGTGAAAGCAAACAAAACTTGACAAAAGATTTCTCTGAGAGGATTTTAATTAGACATCATTTTCCTGTTAAAACATATAAAAAGAAGTTCCTTAAAGATTTCCAGTGCTAAAGATCAAAAGTGGAAAAGAATGACAAATAATGGCAAAGAGACAGGAAACCCCATGAGATCAACACACTGTTAAATAGTTTACCAACCCCTTCCTCCCCATCTACTCTCAAGGATTATTGTACCATTGCCACTTAAGTCCATAACAGCATTTTAAAGAGCTAAGGTGGAGGGTTGAAATATGATGCTTTACAGCCTCTGCGGTATTGGAGAAGAATCAAATGCCATATAAGTCCTATAGCTATGTGATATTTCCAGCAAGTTGATGAATATCTTGAAACATTGTTGTTACAAAAGGAAGTAATTTATTTAACTTTCTTTTTCCCCTCCCATAATGTCTGGTTTATTAACCTCATTACATTTCCATAAATTATATCAGTATGAGAGGAAATGATTAATTGAAGATTGTTTCCTCAAAAACATTATTCCTGGTCATTAACAGCTTCAGCAAACTGCAGTGCCATATAATCTAAACACATTATACTACTTTTAAATAGCCTCATGTTTTATTACTTTGCTCTAAAGTATTATGATCATAGAGCCCAGGAGGCATCATTACAAACATTCTGCAACTACACCCTGAGTTTTCTCACTGCATACAGTTTGCTATTAAAAATTCTTGTCGTGTCCTAGATGTTTTCCTTGATGAATAATAATGAGGTTTACACAAAATTTCACAATGAAATTCATTAATTTCACATATTGAAATGTTAACAGATGTTAGGATTTAAAATACAAAAATAATTAAAAAAAAAAAAAACTACCAGGGATCCTTACAAAGGTAGAGATGTTGATGGAGATTTTCCAAATGGCATACTGATATGGGGAATTTTGTCTTTTAAGGTTTTTTTCTCTACACACCTTAAGGGAGCCTAATTTCTAAACAAACAAATTCACTTAGCAATTAAGATTTTTCTTTCCTGGTAATTTTTTTTTTTTTCCCCTTCTTGCTTTACAGATAACCCAAGTGGTCAGACCCTGGAGGAAAAGATTATCTATGGAGTAGAGAATAGCAGCACTTTTCTTGAGTGCAGTCCAAAATCTCAGCGTGCTGTAGTCTACTGGCAATTCCAGAAGCAAAATGATGACCACAAAGAAGAGGTACAGTAGAAAAATTTAAGAGATGCAACTAGTCTTCTCTATAAAGATATACTTGAACCTGAGTCCTTCGCAGAATAATGTCCATCTGTATTTTAGTTTAGCAGAATTTCTCCAGAATCTTATAATTTCTGTTGTTCTTCACCATATTCTTACTCTTAACACCATAAAATCCCATAAGCTCTCTAACAGGTTTCACAGACTGTTACATCAGAAAACATTCGTATCCTCTCCCTGGTCAGACCCCCTGCAAAACACGCTGGTTTTCCTTTAGACATCTCAGAAATACAAAAAGGTAGCATGCTATAGAAGTGCCACCTAAAGCATCATACAAGGATTATATTGGACTTAAATATTACAAAGACCTTTAAAATGCCTCAAAAAAAGTGTAACTGCATTCATCTAATCATGCTGTTTGACTGAAACATAGTCTAACAGGAGCATTTCCTATGTACTGCATGCTCTAAGACTTTACTGCCGATAAGACAGACAGAATGAAGAACTGGGAACTGTAGTAGACACAAAGGTATGAAAACTTGTACATTTTTTTCATCAAAAGCAATACTCACAGGGGCAAAAACACTGACTTTCCCTGCTTGCATTACACTAAGCCGATACTTTTTCTCCTTCTCTTGTCACCAACATTCTTATGTTATGACTCACCCTGGTTCTCAAACCATGTTACTATCAAGCTAGGTCACACATATCTTAAGAGAATAATCCACTCTGGTAGGTAGGGAGATCAAACAAAAACTTGTTTGTTGCATTGGAGTATTTGTAAATATACCCAAACTACTCTGAAGCATTTTTTTTTTTTTAAAGCATGTACAAAATACTTAGTTACATTAGCAGCTTTAGATATTTTTGCTGTTTGCTTTGTTTGCGTAAGTAGTAAATTATTTAGAATTTATTTTTGGTGGAGAGAGCAGCAAACAGGTTTATGCCCTTTCTGTCTGCAGTGACGTGTGCATTCAAAGAATGAAATTATATTCTAGATAATAATTAATTCAGAAAAATACAGTATTTTGGACAGCTGCTTTTTGAATATTAAAATTTTGATATTTAATCCTTATTGTTTCTTTGGAAATCCTCCACTTATGCAGAACCCACTTCTATGCATAAGGACTTTTGTAGTAAGGAACAATAGGAAGACAGAGAACCTTTCCCACAAATATATCTAGGCTTGGCTAAAAGATAATGATAAATGTGACCTCAGTAATATAACCAAATTCATCCATGTTGACTCTGCTGGTTATAGGCTTGCATCTTCTGTAATCTTACCAGCAAGTCCATCTGACAGAGTTGACACAGGTCTTTGTTCAGCAGCAGCAGGGACTAAGGAGTAAATTCTTAATCTCCCAAACTTTTTGCAGTGCATCAATAGTTCTTCCAGAGTATTTGAGCCTTCCATAACTACAGATGACTGGCAAGGGCTTTTCCACTCATGTGGTTTTGGGGATTTTTGGCCAAGTTTTACCAGCTGAAAGGAGCAGTACTAAGGAACTAGTATGGTTAGAGGATAATTTTGCACATTTATGAAAGATAACTATTGAAATTACCACTTTTTCTAATACAGATAAAAGTGGATGATCGCATGATCCGGACAGAACAGGGCCTATTGCTACGAAGTCTTCAACGGAGAGACTCTGGTATTTATTTTTGTCATGCTGTGGAGCATGGCTTCATGCAAACTTTGCTCAAAGTGACCCTGGAAGTAATTGATACTGACCACCTGGAAGAGCTGCTCCATAAAGAAGAAGATGGTGATGCCTCCAAGACCAAGGATGCTACCAATAGCATGACCCCCAGTCAAAAGATCTGGTATAGAGACTTCATGCAGTTAATCAATCACCCCAATCTCAACACAATGGATGAGTTCTGTGAGCAGGTTTGGAAAAGAGACCGCAAACAGCGCCGGCAAAGGCCTGCCAATGCGCAGGTGAATACAAATAAGTGGAAGCACCTACAAGAGAATAAAAAAGGTAGGAACAGGAGGACCCATGAATTTGAGAGGGCACCACGGAGTGTCTGAGCTACATTACCTCTAGGAACCTCATCCAAGTAGAAACTTGTATAGACAGATAACTGGAAAAAAATGCAATATTCATGAACTTTTTCATGGCATTATGTGGATGTTTACAAGAGTGGAAAGTTCAAACAATTTCCACCAGATTTAAATAAAATCCATTTCTAACTTTCCTAGTAAGTCCTTCCTCTCTGCTCTGATTCTAAGACCAGAAAGACCGGAGTTTCAAGGATGATAACTCACCCGGATCTAGCTTACTGCTCAAAAAGCCCGGAGCTAGCTTACTGCTCATAAAGTGCTGCAAGGGGGCAGCAGGCAAGTTTTGCTTTTTCTTTTGCCTGAGATATAAACAAAATGCTGTATTTCATGCTGTCGTCTTAAAGAAAAGAAAAACAAAGCCCACCTTTCATCATCAGCACTACCATTTCTAGACTTACATATAAAACTGCATGAACTCATTAAGCTGATGAACGTCTAAACACATGATTGGACACAAGGATTTTGTTCTTGTTTTGTCTACCAGTTCTCCTGTTTATATGTACTAGAAGAGGAAAAACAATACTGAATGAGATTGTTTGTGGAAATCTGAACAACATAAGCCATCCGTCATCTGGAGGAACAAAAAATGTGGAGTACACTGGCCTACTACTGATGACTTCTTTCAGCTTTGATCTAAAGATGTATTTTATTAAAACTATAATTTAAATGTACCATGAAAAATATGCAGCAAACATTAACTCTTTTCTATAATAGATTAGACTTTTTGTCTTAGAAATATTGTACTTTCTAATTATTGGTTTAGAGGAAAAAAAGACAACTTCCAATTATGAGCTGCTTTACTCTTTTGTTTGGAAAATCTTCCAGGGGAACTAGTCACATTGCAGTTAACCTCCTCCCCTGTCCGTAATCTATATGACATGTAACTTCAAAACAATTTTAAAACTAAGCTATTTTAACATGAAAGTCACTGTATAGCATGGAAGTCTTCTGCATTCTTTTTTTCTAAGTATGGTATTTTAAATGACTCAACTTGTATAATACCTTGCTATAGATTGAACCAATGAAGAGGAGAACATTGATTTTCAGTTGTATATTTTTTTTTTATTAAAAAAAGTAAATAGCATTAAAATACCCTCTACTAATTACACTCTTGCTTTCTTGGTTCGTAAATATATGTGAATGCTAATATTTAAATACTGTGGCTCATAGACTGTCATATATCCATGAGCAAAGCTCACATTCAGTTTAAGGAGTTTTGTTCCCAGCTCAGTGGTAGAAATATGTCCACACTACTGATTCTCAGTGCTCCATTCTTTCTGTGGGCCAGATCACCCAAATGCAAAGAACCAGCACTAGGCCACATAAATAGTAACCTCAAAGCCAGCTCTCTGTTTTAAGATCTAAGGGACAGTTTTATCTGTGGGTGAAGTGAGCTGTAGTAGTAAATTGGTGAAGTTCAGCTTAAGACTAGTTTATACTAACAGACAATTTGGTCCTGCACTTCTGTCTTATTCTATATACAGGAGAGCAACAGGGTAAAACAGACAATGTACTTGCACCATAAGTGTCAATTTAGGGTTATAAGTAGTGGATTTATTCACCTCAGCACAGATGTGCCTTTGGTCCCCAGTTCTATGGTGTCCAGTTCTTTTGAGGTCATCTTTCTCCAGCCTCCCATATTTTATCTTAGTAAAGTCCGTAAATGACATAATTTCAAGTAATGTCATTGTGGGGAAAATTACTAGAACAAAGTCCTTAGTTTGCTAAAGGAGCTTTTATATAACAGTGTGTCTGTATTGATGACTGATCAGTTTTGTTGTTGTTCACTCCAGATTATTTAATTTATCAATCACTACACTATCAGCCTTATCAGATACAACACAACTGCTGTGACAGCATCTCTCACAATATGTCCCAGTCTCCTTGCCACTCACTAATTCAAGTATCCTTCTGATTAGTGAAGCCTTGTCTTCTTGCCTCTATAACAATTGGATTTTCACTATCGGCTCAGTCACTTTAGTCCCCTTTGAATCTTTTGCAGGGGATGAACTTGCAAGACTTTTTGTGGTGTAACTCTTTAGAAAAAAAAATCATTGAATAGACCAGGACAAGGCTGTAAGGCCATGATTTAGGAAAGCACTTGGGAATTTAGTTTTAAAGCAACTTGAAGTCTCTCTTATGTTTAACTTGACTCCTTTGAACTTTAATATGCCGTTAAATTCCCATGCCTTCATTATGTGCTGAATAAGGATGAATTAAAACATAGGTTCAACTATGTGCTTTCATGTACAGAAGTATTAATTTTTCAGCTCAGCTTATGATTAATTTCTGAGCATTGTTGTCAACTGAATTATTTAATTGTAATCACAGAACACTCTTTAGCCTTTTGTGTAGGGTTACTGTGTACCATCGAGTCATTAGAATCCTCCTTGTTACAAAAAGAAACAGTTTTAAAATGAACCTCAGAGAAATCAGTGGGAAAAAAAGATTGATTTCAACAGACTCTAAATGACTTTGTTTCCTTTTTTACATATTAATGGAATTGCTATCCAACTTTTTTTCTCTACCATGCTCATAGCAACTGGTTCTATAGCAACTTGCTGCAAAAAATCAAACCAAAACCAACCTCTTTCACCACCCCTGAAGAAGAAACACTGAATTAAGTCAGGATTCTAAGATATGTTTTTCTATACAGAGAAAGATAATCTGTGGGAACAAAATTACAGAAGTTGAAATGTTTTTACCATAACCTGGCAGTCTAATTGGACAATTGATATAATCAGATCTTACAACCTTCAATCCAATTCTCACTGACATGAGTAGTCTTACTTATGTCTTCGTATTTGCTTATATAAATAAGAGGGCAGAAGATCAAGCCAGCAGTGGATTTTTTTTTATTTTCAGGTTCATATTATGGTCAAGTTAAAACAGCATTTAATACTGACGTGAAATGAACTTTTTTCAAAGAACACAGGCCTTAATGAATTAATGTATATAAAGATGCCCTGCGGCTTCAGTAAAATTCATACCCCTGTTTGTAACATTATTGTTTAAAGCAATATAAGTTTTGAAGATAAAGGTAAAAACAGTATTTCTGTAAATTGTCAATAAAACCCTCTAAACCTCTAGTTACAGACTTTAGCAAAAGTAAGTAAAAAGTTGTGTTTAAGCTGGAGAGAAATAAAGGATTTCATTTATAACCACAAAGATCTATTTTGATTTGTTTTAAGATATCCATTTGCAAGTAACAAAAATGCATTGAATCTTATTCTCACTCATCTACACGTTGCACTTGCATGGATCACTGAAGATGGGAATTTGTTCAATGGCTCCTAAAAACTGTATGGTTATGTTAAACTATAACATCAAACTGAGAAAATGTGCATCTTTGCAGAACAGAGTTAAATCTTCATGACCCAATAAAGTCACTATGTAAAAAAATAAAATTAAATTAAATGCATGTGAATGCGCATTTACTGATCCTTTTTATGTATTATTTAGTGAATATCAATGGTATGTGTTTAATAGTTCAGTTTTTGCTACCTACACATTAGCCAAAAGAGATGTAAATATTTTTGACTAGATAAGAAGGTACAGTGTAAAGTACTGTTATCTAGAGGTACTCCATTTTGGTGTGTTCAGCATAATACTAAAATGCAAGATTTTGCCGCACAGGTGATAAGGTGGTTTATTTGCTATATCAGTGGCAAAGTTATGCGCTTAGTCTTTAAGTGCATTCCTCACTGGGAAGTAAATAATTCTAATTCTGTATTCGTCACTTCAATTCAGATGGGAACTAGAAAACTGGAGAGAAAAAAATGTAATGAGACTGCTGCTGTAAATTATTCTTTTAGCATGTATTCAGTTGTTAAATAAACATTTCTTCCAAATATTTGAAGTTTGCTGTCTTGACTGTTTACATGGAAACGTGCCCTGTAACCTTCACAAGCATATGGAGTGCATTGTTGCCAATATATTGCTATCAATGTATATGAGCTCTGTTTACTAGGCCAGAAGGGTTGCTATTTTTATTAATGGCGTTTATAGTTTCTTTTTGAAGACTACAAACTAATAATGCCTAAAATGAAAGCTACAAACTTATCTTCAGCCTATCTTTTGGCACAACTGCGTGGGCTAGTGCAGATAAAGCCACACATACACACACCCACCCCCCCTCACTCTGCCCGTGAACCAAACTGTAAATCAGCCTGGAAGCCAAGTGAATGCTAGCAAGTTGCTGTACTTGATGAAATTCACTCTGTGCAATGCTAATGGCATAGCACAGCTATGCTGCTTCCTTTTGGAAACCAGCTTGCACAGACAACAAGTAGAGTAAATCAGGTTCTCTCTGTTATCGACATACCCTTGTATCCTTAGGTAAACTTAGCAGCTGTTCAGAAGTGCCTAGGGGCTCTATCTAAAAGTAATATGCCACGGCACTAAGCATTGTGCAAACAGTTAATGAGACAAATGCTGCCCTGGAAAGCATGAAGTTTAAATATACCAGGCAAGAAGTGAAGAAAAGAAAGTATCTTTATGTCCATTTGGCACATACAGAATTGAAAAATCAACCAGTAGTACTCAATCATCACTAATCCACTCAGCTTTGCCCATGTTCCTTCCTGTAAAGCAATGATAGAGATGTCAACTTCAAAAGGATGTTGTAAGGATACTTTATGGTTACTACTGTCTTCTGAAGATGAAAATAAGCCCTCAGCAGCAGCCAGGCAACTCAGTGGGATACAAAAGATGTCTGCAGATACAACAAGGACAGAGTGGATGTGGCAAGCCTTGAATCCACTAACTGAAAGACCAGAGTAAATTTTGGTTTTCGTCTGTCCAGTGCAGGGATTATAAATGCTCACAAAAGATGACCCTTGTTTCTGGATGTAGCTATGCTGTGTTCTTTGCTAGAACACCCTGCAGAGCACAGCTAAACTGATTGTTCTCTGTTACTACTTTGCTATATTGCCAGGAATGTCAATGCCTAGGGACAGCCCTCATTG